ATACAGGGTGTTTCTAAAATAGGGTTCCAAACTTCTGCTGCGTTTATAACTCATTAAAATAAGCCAAAAAGTTCCTATTAACATGTGCCCTAAAACGCACCCTTAGGAAGTTATATGCCCTTAAAAGGGCTCAAACAAAACTGGTTTTTTTCTGTTATTGACAAAACGAGCGCAAATAAATAGAAAAAAATTTATGGGTTTTACATAACTTTTTACGTTAAATAACATGGGCTACTCCGTTTTTCGACATGCAAATCATATGCGTTCCATTTAGGTTGGTGAAGGGGGTTTTCGGCCCGTAATTTTTTTTATTTCAATTTTTTTACAATTTTCTCTACAGATTTATAAAATCTTAACAATTTTACGTAAAAAATATTATCTTTGTCCAAATCGATATTTCCAATGGTTTTCGAGTAAATTGAGTTTGAAAATTACTCTGCTCTTTAAGTTATTAAGCCAAAAATCTGTTTACCATAGCAAATAAAAGACTGACGTTGCCACAACGCTTAACAATTTAAGTTATTGATAAACTGTCAATTGAGCTTTGCAGTGTTTAATTAGTAAAAGTGGTGAGTGGAAAATTTAAGTAGCAATTTATTTGAAAAAAAAAACAGTTTTGTTTGAGCCCTTTTAAGGGCATATAACTTCCTAAGGGTGCGTTTTAGGACACATGTTAATAGGAACTTTTTGGCTTATTTTAATGAGTTATAAACGCAGCAGAAGTTTAGAACCCTATTTTAGAAACACCTTGTATATGTGCACCCCTATAAATCTCTTCGTGATACGAGGAGCTGCTTCATCTGTTTACGGAACGAAAATACTTGGTGCTCCTTTTATATTGTTAGGGATTTGTTGAATATCTTCGCAGCGTTATACGAAAAAGAACCTTGAAATTGAGCAGATTTGTGTTCTGGAACCAAGTACAGGTGTCGATATCGGGTGGAACGGTTGTGTACTTCACTGCCTTTTACTAGTTTGTTGCACAGATAAACAGGAGATCTAAATGTTTCAGTTTTATAAACTATGCAAGACAAATGTAGCTCATACCTTTCTTTTAAATACAGGGTGTCCCGAAATAAATGCAACAAAATTTGGTCAGAAATTCTTAAGAGAAATTTAAGGGACCCGTATTTTTTATTTTTGATAAGTGCGGCCCTCTTTCGGAGATATAGCCCCCTGATACAAGCCCTTAAAAATTTAATTGTTTTTATATCTCAGAGCTCTATCACACAAGAACCACCAAATTTGGTACACAGGGATTTTATGACATGTAGAATGCGATGCTGATAAGCTCTTTGGCAAGGGGCCCCCACAAAACACTTTTTCGGGGGCCCCCTTGCTTTTGGGGCCACCGAACTTTAGTTGCATATTTAATTTTTTAAAAAATTAGTAGCCCCTTAGAAACTCCAGGGAATTTAAAAACTTTTTTGTCTGTTAAAATTTTTTCGAAAAAAGCAGCGTTTTTTGAAAAAATGGCTAAATGTGATTGGATGCATATCGAGGTTCATATGAAACTTTAAAGTGTTAATCGTAGGTGGCTGGCATTCGCAATAAACAATCAATTTTATTCTCAAAGAGTTAACCTCTTTCACGTTTATTGTCACGGTTTATTATAAAATTCTTCAAATTTTGTGAATATTTGCAAAAGTTCGTAATTTTTCATAAAGTACACACTCTAAGGAATCCAATGATACATCGCTCCTTTTGATAAGTAGTGGAGTTTAGAGAAGTTCTGATTCCAAAGTATGATCAAAACATCGAAATTCACTAATATATGAGTCTAACTTCCACTATTTTCTCTGTTTTTCATTTTTTTACTCTGTGCCCTATTACAATTATTTATCGAAGTAAAAATGATGGATGAGATGCAATACAGACTTTTGATTTGTTGAAATACAACAGTACCAATGAAATATTTGAATAGTAAAATTGCTGGTTTCATACATGATTTTAAAAGTTTAAGTCGTTGCCACATAGGGAGTAGCCTGTCAAATTCAATGAAACTTTAAAAATAACTAGTCCACGGGCCCATGTACAAAGAAAAAAAATGATTACCAGCAAGCTGTAACTTTGCGTGCAGCTTAAGTTTGACGAGTCTTCCAAGATTTGACTACGAGTAAAATTCAACAGTGGTAAGTTTTCCCGTAATTTTCAGGAAAACATGTCAATCTGGCATAAACATGGAGTGTTATAACCAGCACTTTTTTTTAAGTTTAAATGAAAGATATATATTTTTTAAACCCCCAAAAAATTTGTCCGACAAAAATTTTGGCATTTTGAGTTTGTCCCCCACCCCAAAGATGTCGATTTGGTGACATTATCCAACGCCCCAAAGATGTTGATTTAACGACAACATGGTTGGTGATAACCAGCAATCTGGTTTTGATTTTTTTCTCTAATAATTGAAATGTATAACATAATAATATACTTGTCTGCCAAAAAGATTGGAAAATTTGCCTTAAAATTGAGAAAAATAACTATATTTGTGGTACCTAATGTTCATTCCGCTATAAAATAATTAATTTTTTAATGAAAAAATAAAGAAGAATAAATAAGAATTATCTTATTTACAGGAGCAACAGAAATTCATAAATAATTATATCTATAAAAATGAATTTAATTAATCTCCATCAAAATGATTTCTTTGTTCAAAAAACTTATATGTACATTTTATTTTATAAACTGTTGTAACTATTTTATAAAAAACGGTTACTTTAAAATGAATGCATACATTTTTGCTTGAGTTTTTTTAAATTCAATTTTGCAATCTTGTTTTGACAAACAGTTTACACATAGTTTTGTCGTTGAAAAACCAATTTTAAAAATATTTTGAATCCACTGCGCGTTCTCTATTTCTTTTCTCAAGGAATCCAACGTGTAATGGTACGTTGTCCATCGCAGGTAAGTGCACACACACATAGACGCATGCATTAACACATAAGTTGTAAGTGAGTGTTCTCCAAAAAAGAATTTCGATCGCACTCCGCGTATATCCTATAAATACATGCACATGGTTCACAGTCTTGTGCATGCCTCGTGGTAAAAATTTCGTAAATCATGGAGTGTTTTGACTGTTTTGTTTGTGTAATTGTGGAAATGATAAATCAAGAGCAAAAAGTGAAAAAGTAAAAAAAAATTAATCAATATTTTTATAACAAATTAATTAACAATGTTTAATATTTACTGTCGGTTTTAACAATATTATTCTGCATTATCCACTTAACAACGTACAATTGAAATGCAGCAATTTTGGTTGTGTTAATTAATTTTCTAAATGTTCAGATATTGCATATATCCAATTTTTTTGTAATTGTATAAAAAAATGAATTTAAATTAGTCATATGTATTTTGAAATTTTACAATAAGATACTTTTATTTCAAATCTTATTACCAAACCCTCCCAGAAAAATCAGCTTGCTGGTTGTCACTAACCATAATGTCACCAAATCGACATATTTGGGGTGGGGGACAAACTTAAAATACCAAAATTTTTGTCGGATAAATTTTTTGGGGGTTTAAAAAATATATATTTTTCATTTAAACTTAAAAATAAAGTGCTGGTCATAACATTCCATGTCTATGCCAGATTGACATGTTTTCCTGAAAATCACTGGAAAACTTACCACTTACCATTTTGCTTGTAGTTAAATCTTGGGAGACATCAAACTTAAGCTGCACGCAAAGTTACAGCTTGCTGGTGATCATTTTTTTCTTTGTATGTGGGCCCGTGGACTACTAGTTTAGCTTGTCTAAATAACGACAAGTCATTTGTTTGAACTCTGTAGATACATTTCTTTCAATATCCTGATTTGATATTTAAAGATAAGTATAATATTTTCTTCTAAAACTGTAATAATTTATATTCCAAAAATCAAATGTTTATATATGAAAATATTTTTTAATTTGGAAGAGGAAAACACATTTTCTTTTATGGCCCCTAGTGGTAGACCCTATATGCAATGGAATTTGGTTTGGTCGAAGTAGATTCAGATAACTTGGAATGAATTGATGAAACTGGTAACCATGTTTGTGGCATAAAAAAAATTTCAATTTTTTTATTGATCAAATAAGTGATGGTAACTTTGAATTATATCGACATTTTAAGAAGATATTACTAAGCAAGGATTAGTGAGATGGAAGATCGGAAGCGCTCCGGTTACTTCTAAAGTGATGCGCCATATGTAGTTTCAGCATTCTGCCAATAAAAATGAGAAGGTTTTGATTACTAAAAATTAATTTTCCTTATCTGGCAACTCTAAAATCTACTTGCAGCCCCTTAATTGTCAGTATTTGTTGCATAGAAGATGCTGAATGATAATATTTATTACCATCTGAAAAGGTCCCAAACCTTTGCGAAAACAGACAAATAAATTATCACATGTTCTGGCTTTTGTTACACCTGTTTGTGGAACTATAATGTTCCAAATATTTATTTAGTTTAAATTTTCATTTAGTAAATAAAAAAAAAGCAAGATTTACATAAAAAACAAACTGATGGTTATTTTTTAAATTTACTGTATTACAATAGCTACAAAATAATGGCCAAAAGTCACAGAGCAACATCAAAGAAAAAAAGAGGACTTTGACTTCTTGGTTATTTATTCTGTTTCAAAACCACATAAAAAAAATCTTATTTCTAGACTACCAAAATATCCCCAATTTGTAACAAAGTTTTTATTATATTTGTATAATGCTTGAAAATATATTTTCATTAAATATTTTAAATTTTTTTTTGTATTGTGTTTCTTGATGAACCTTCCTTTCTGCTTTCAGGAGATAATAATCCTTTACACATCGACCCAAACATGGCTCTTCTCAGTGGTTTTGATCAGCCAATTCTTCATGGTTTGTGCACCCTGGGCTTCTCTGTGAGGCTAATATTAGCAGCTTTCGCTTCCTACGATACTTCCCTATTCAAGGCTTGCAAGGTGATTCCTTTTATTGTATAACAAAATATAAAATTCATGCTTTTTTCCTTACAGGCACGTTTTATGAAACCTGTCATTCCCGGTCAGACTTTGAGAGTGAACATGTGGAGAGAGAACAACAGAGTATTCTTTGAGACTGTCGTTGTGGAGAACAACAGTGTGGTTATTGGAGGTAAGAATATTTAAGTACAGTATTGTAGAACACGAAATAAGAAAAAAAAATCCAAGAAGTCTCAATGGGGTAATGTTTAATTTCCAAGGGCGTTTGGTAAAAAAATGAATAAATGAAAATATTATATTATAAAGGCCAAGTAACTCTTGTCATCACATTGGTGTAAATGCAACAACCAAAGCAAGGATTAAAGTATTCCTTCATGAATGATTGGGACAAGCAATTAAAGAAAGGAGACATGTTGGGTGGGTCGGTGGCCGAAGAGTTTGAGACGTCAATACTCGAATCAATGAGTGCCACTATCGTGGGTTTAATCCCTGCGGCCATAAGACTGTAAATCAGCTATATTCATAGAGGGTAATTAGGCATCCTCTCTGCAGATATGCTAGGGTGGAAGAACGTTGGCTTGGGTCAACGTGAGAGATTAATACTGGTCGGCGTTCATTCATCCCCCTAATTAATAAGGTTTTCCAGATTTCCTTCATTCCTGCACTATAGGTAGTTGGGCGTACCAACGTAGTCATTCCTTGGCACAAATGCGGCCTACTGAATAATAGTATACTGCCTCCTCTCCCACACAATTCTCCGAATTCTGGGCTAATCCTTGCGGCTGTGATGTGGGATGGAGATATTATTATTATGTATCCTGATTTACGTACAAGAAGCAAAAAATGATTTTGCAAACTATAGACCCATTTCCATCTTGAGTAATTTTTGTAAAATACTGGAAATAGTCTTGCATTCTTATATTATGTATCACGTCTCGAATATGATCATACCTGAACAACACGGTTTTATACAGCACTACGAATCTTACATGTAAGACACAATTTATATCTGAAGTTCAGATCAGGGAGGTCAGGTGGATGTTATTTACACTGATTTCTCAAAAGATTGATCATTTTTTGCTACCACAAAAACTTAACAACTTTGGGTTTTGCGACGATTTGCTCAGACTGTTTCAATCTTATTTAACTTATCGCTATCAGTTTGTTCAGTATCGTGGTTTTAAATTATTGTTACGTTAACTTTTGGCTAGTTCATAACTATAAAGGTAGGTCCGACTAACCTCAGGGGAGTCGGGGGTGGATTAACAAACAAGAATTTATACAGGGTGATTCAGGTTTAATCTGGATAACTTCAGGAATCGATAGAACAGGTTAAAATAATGTTCATTCATGATATAAACATTTCCTAAATCGCACCGTTTCGGAGATAGAGGGCGGTGAAGTAGACATTTTTTCCCATTTTTCCCTCATATTTTTCAACTTAATATTTTTAACGATGATTTTCACAAACGTCAGTTTGTACAAATCACTGTGAGTTTTGTTTTTCATGGGTTGCTATAACATTAAATGAAATTTATGCGGCTGGGCGCTATTTAGGGCGCTACACTGTTACGAATTTCATTGAATATCTCAGAAACAAGGCCAAATATCAAAAAATAAATAAGAGACAAAAAAGTTTCAAAATTAATGAGGCAAAGGTGATGTACAGCTGTTTTATTGAAATTATAAATTTTTTAAAAGTTTTAAAATAATGTAAGAGGCGGGTAGCAAACAAAATACATTTCTAAGAGGGGTAGGTGGTTCAAACTTAACCCTTTCGCTGCGCAATACGTCTGAACGTAGCTACCACGCCGTGCGCGAAGGTTTATAGCGTGCGAATATATACGTCTGGAGCAGTTAGACCACTTATAGTTTTACATTATGTTGTGTTAAATTACGATTTACGATAAATTGTACGATTTTGTTTTGAATAAAATACAGTAAATGTACTAAATAGAAACTGAAAGAAACATGAACAATCTTGGTATTATTACCAGTACTTCTTTCCATAAAAATATTTGTCACAATCGGTATAAGCTCGCCCGCAGAAATTCGCCTTACCAATTGCAATAACCGAGTCACTAATGCGCATGGTTACAAATATATATAGGGTTTGAGCAGCCTGATCCAATTTAACTATTCATGCGAATTAATCCGTCTGGAGCAGTTTGAGCCCCATAAATTTTTAGCGAATATATACGTCTGGAGCAGTGAAAGGGTTAAGGAGCTTTTTGTAAGATGAATAACGAGTGCTTGTGCTCCGAATTTCACTTCAATCAAATGAGTGGTTCAAAAGTTATAAGGGAAAAACGGGAAAAAAATTCCTACTTCAACGCCGTCTATCTCTGAAACGGTGCGATTTAGGAAATAAGTTTATGTCATGAATGAACGGTATTTTAACCTGTTCTATTGATTCCTGAAGTAATCCAGACTAAACCTGAATCACCCTGTATCATGGGCCCCAAGTGATTTTTTTTTCTTTTTATCCTATCCTCAATCGAATAAAATCACTAAACTTTGCAGCCAAAGATTTGAATAGGGAAAAAAACACAAAAAAACAAACAAATATAGATAAAGGTAGAACAATAAGTTAATAAAGGTAAATGTAGATGTAAGCGAACTACTCGACGGCCAAAATTATAGATAGTGATTCATCGCTAGCTCTTGGACTAGTAAGGGGGATGAAGCGTGCCGGGAACGAAAATCCATTGGCGTGTCTGCGTAAAAGGCAACAAGATATATAAAATATTGAAAAAACATAATAAAACATAACATCTAATATTTTTTACGGTTTGCTATAACCGGCACTTTGATCAATTTTAATTATTACAGCATTTTAAAACGTTCCAGTTGTGTTTTTTTAATTTATAAATTTATTATAGCCATGGAATTAGACCCCTCGTCTACGCTTATGCTATGACGTTTCTCAGGTCGGGCAAATCAAGTCTGTTTACACCCACTAAAAAAGCATCTCCCTATTCCCTACCAAGTGCAAAAGACAGAGATAAAATATAGATTGACGTTCAGTGTAACTCAGTCTATACACGATTATAGATTCTACCGATGTGCATGGCGAGCGGCACAAAGATAAATAATATTGAACCGTATAGAAATCATTTTATATTTTATACGCATTATGGTAATAGTGTTTTTATATTATGTATTAGTCACTCTTTATAATTTGGGCCGCCGAGTATAGGTTATTCATTAAAAAAGAGATACATACACAAATATACAGGGTGTCCCGTTCATGTTTCAAAAAAAATACATTGTGTGCAAGTTCCTCATGGGAAAATAATAGTGGTAGTTCATATAAAGTTTTTTTCTTAGACGCCCTGTTTTTGAGATACAGTGTATTGAAGTTGTTACGTTCCAAATGGTTTTCCTTAAATCGGCTAAATTTAAAAATGTCAAAATTTGTACACGAGTAAACATCAACGTTAAGAATAATGTGCAAACGGTTTCTTTCTGAAAAGCACTGTCGCCGATACAGGTAATTGAAGGGGTACAATCAAAGAAAAAATATATTAAAAGTCAAAATTTATTACATTTCTAAACGGCTCTGTAAACTCTAAAGGATACTACAAAAAAAAGATATACTTGTCGAAATTCGGTAGCATGTACCATTTTCGAGAAAAATTAAGTTGCATTTTTTTGCTCACATAAAGCAAGTACATTAACAAAATATTAAATTGAAAGAGGACCTTACCATTGAATGAGCTGAAAACATTTAGCTACCAACAGTATTTGCATTTAAGACTATAATTTTAATTTCTTACGTACCTATCACTTGAAACAGTTAAATTGTAAAACATTTTATTAACTAAAAAAAATTATTTTAAGTTTCAGTTTGTTGTAAACTAACATCTAAAAAAGTAAATCAAAATAAACAGATTATGGTAATTAATTAAATAAATGTGCCAACTCAAAATACTACAGTAGTTACTGACATTGTCCCCCATTTCCTTCTATACAAATTCATTTTTCTCGAAAATGGTACATGCTACCGAATTTTGACCTTTTTTTTGTAGTATGCTTTAGGGTTTACAGAACCATTTAAAAATCTAATAAATTTTGACTTTTAACATATTTTTTTTCGATTGTACCCTTCCAATTACCTGTATCGGCGACACTGCTTTTCAGAAATAAACCGTTTGCACATTATTCTTAACGCATAGTTGATGTTTACTCGTGTACAAATTTTGACATTTTTATCTTTACCCGATTTAAAGATAATTAAGGAAAACCAGTTGGAAAGTAACAACTTCAACACACTGTATCTCGAAAACAGAGCGTCTAAGAAAAAAACTTTACATGAACTACTCCTATTATTTTTCCATTAGGAACTTGCACACAAGTTTTTTTTAAACATGAACGGGACACCCTGTGTACAGGGCTGGAAAATCCACATGGTCCATCTGCCTTTACATGAGAGCGACAAAGTAAAGTAAAGAAATCCGTGCGATAGACAAGGATGGCTATAGTGAAGACGTTTCATAATCTGAATAGTCACTGCCCGTTTCGGGTTAGAAGTGGGAATGACTATTCAGATTATGAAACTTCTTCAATGTAACCATCCTTGTCTATCGCACGGATTTCTATGACTTACTTTATCGCTCTCACGTAACAACCGATGTACCATGGGGACTTTCCGAACCTGTATATAGATAGGAGAAGGTAGCCCCAAAACAAATACAATATATAACAAAATTAGACCCGAAATTCTTATGCTAACTAAACCTATTAATTGAGAGCTTTCCTTACAACCTAGCAATGGATAAAGGAACTGATAAATTCCTTATAATATAGCACAAAGATGAAAGAAAACTGCCCACTATGTGATACTTAACCTCTCCAAGTAAGGTAACTCTCCAATCTAAATTTTTCTTTTCCTTCTGGAACCCATCTGATTTTTAGTAGGTATCTCGGCAGGAGGACCTTATTTCTATTATGGAATCGGATTGGGAATGTTTTGGATCTCTCCTCGTATATTTGGCAGGGGGCACTATTTATATTTTGTTAGAACGTTCTTCTATTTTGGAACGTCGAAACGTACAACCAAAAGAAAATGCCTAAAAGAGTTTACGGAAAGAAAATTCAGAAATGATGTTATAAACAGATAACAGTACCAATTACTTGTTAATTATTGAGAACTCACCTCTTGTGATCAAA